CTGAAGAAGTGACCATTACAGTTCGCCTCATTCGTTCATTTGAGCATCGCAATTTCAAACCCGTAGTGTATCATGGCATTAATTTGGATCAAACCGTAAAGGAATTTATAGGATTTCTAAAGCAAGGTATGAGACGTTATACTCATTTTGTTTTGTTAAGTATTTAAAAAAAAAATAGTTGACTATGGCATTAATAATAATCTTTCAAAATACAAAAGTTCTTTGAAAGATGCTAATCTAGGTGCTAAGCCAGTGCTAGGCTAGTTCCTCGGCATCTGCAGAAGTGCCTCCCCCAAGGGAGTGTGCCCTCATCAGGGTTTGCTACCATCATGCTTGGCTTCTGCTGCTGCTTTTCTTTTTTTTTAATTAAAATATAAAAAGTAAGGTCTAGGTTTGCTTGTAGTGGGCTTATGTATTTGGAAGTTGATTAACAAGGGAGTGTAGTATAGCTAATTGTATTGCCCAGCTGAGCATATAGGACGCTTCCTGGGGAGTGTGGCAGGAAGGTTGCAGAGACCCATACAGCCAGGAAACCATTGTGGTCACAGAAGCAACCACCAGACTAGTGGTGCTGGTTTATCATTTTGAACTTAAAGTAGGCATGAAGTTAGTCTTCGTTTTGATAAGACCTTGATGGGTTTCTCACCTCTGTTTTTATTACTGAAGTGCTCCAATCATCAATGTTTGATGAAACATCTAGAATAAGCTTTTATTATTTTAACTGAAGTGTAATTTATATATGGTACAATAATATATAGATCCTAATGTATATTTCCATGAGTTTTGACAAATGTATCAGTTTATGTCCAGCTTAATTTTTTTACTTTGATGTAATTTCATACTCACAGAAAAGCTGAAAAGATAGGAATTCCTGGTTTCTCTCACACAGATTCCCCAAATGTTAATGTTTTGTTATATTTGTTTTATTCCTCTCACTCACTTTTTTCCCTTTCCCTCTCTCACTCTTCTTACCTCCCCAACCCTGTATTTTTTTTCTTTCCGAACCATTTAGAAATATATTCTTGATATAATTCCCCATTTCCCCTAAATATTTCAGTGTGTATTTCCTAAACACAAGGAATTCTGTTTCTCTGAGACAACCATAGTACAATGATCAAAATCGGGAACCGGACATTGAATCAATGCTATTATCTGATTTATAGTCCTTGTTGAGATTTTAATTGTACCAATAAGGTCTTTTATAACAAAAGAAAATCTGAGATCACACAATGCATTCAATTCCTTTAATCTGAAACACTTTCGGAGTCTTTTGTGGTGTTTCATCACATTGACAATTTTGCATAGCACAGGCTAATTGTTTTTCAGAATGCCCCTCAGTTGGCTTTGTCTGATGTTTTCTCACGGATTAGATTTAGGTTGTGCCTTTTGGCAGGAAAATTACAGAACTGAGTCATCTCAGTGCATCACGCCAGGAAGAGTCCCAATATGTGGTAACTTTGATCAGTCTGGTTAAGGTGGTGTCTGCCAGGTTCCTTCAATGTAAATTTTATTTTGTGGGTATATAGTCTGAGACTATTTGAACATCATGTTACTTCTCAAACTTTCATCCACTGGTTTAGCATTCTTTGATGATTTTTGCCTAAATCAATTATTATTATGATGATTGGCAAATGGTGATTTTTCTAATTCCATCTGTTATGTGTATTATTTGACTTTCTACAGCGAGGAAGAATTTTTGCGTACCTCCTTCCCCCATTTATTTAATCACTTGTTTATTTTACTATGAACTCATGGATTCTTACTTCATTCAAAGGGTTACAGTTTGTTATTATCATTATTTATTTTGGTGCGATAATATACCCATTTTGGCCTGTGGGACCCCGTTCAATCTGGCTCCTGCGTTTTTTTTCACGCCCCCATCATTCTTTGGGCACTTCCTTACTTTTTGGTACAAGATGTTCCAGATTCATGTTCTTTCCCTGCCCAGCCCTGGAGCCAATCATTTCTCTGAGGAGCTCTGATTCCATTACCGAAGAATGGTATTGGGAAACCAGGATTTTGGTTTATATATGTGCAGTGTAATGTGTATAGCTAACTTTAAAAAATGTAGTGACCTCAACATCTCACTTCCTGACTGACTTTGTAAATTTCCTAAGTTCTTCTCCCTCACCTTTTTTTTTTGATCCTGTATAATTTTGGATAGTGTTACTGCCCAGTATTACTTGAGTAAGGAGTAGGCAGAATATATAGATCCATGGAGAAGACAGAGTAGTTAATGTACTTGGTAGTGACTATTTAAAGATTTCATTAAAAAGACATAATTATTCATAAAGTAACTGAATTGGCTTATATAGAGTATAATTTTTATTGCCATGTTCTTAATTATTAGGGAGAAATTGAACCTTCGTATTAAGAGATAATGCTGTAGGGAAGGGAAAATAATTTTTTCTTCAGCCCTCATAAGTTCTTAGTTGGAAGGGACACCTGTAACAAAAGACAGATTAACAAGAAAAAAAACCCCAGAAGTTTATTAACATGTATGTATATTTCATATATACAAGGGCGAAACCTAGGGAATGAGAAATTTGCAAAGAGGTGGCTTTAAATTCTAGTTTATATGGTTCTTCAACAAAGAACAGTAAATTGTCAGAGAAGAGACAAGACAAAGGAAAAGGATTTTGAATCTCCAAGGGAGGCCGCTAGTGAGAAGGCAAATGAATGGCCCATACAGGATAGTTAGTGAAGCTTATTAATGTAGATTCCTCTGGTGCTGTCTCCAGACAGATAAGGGTCTAAAGTTGTTTTCAGTGGTTAACCTTTGTTCTCCCTGGTAGAGAGAGGAGCAGGATACCTTTTGTCTTTGTAAATCTATGTGCTGCTTTTAGGCAAACAAAGGGAGGGCACAGAGCTTTGCTTTCCTGCATCTGCTTTTTTATTTTTTCTTTGACGGTAAGGGGATTGCAACTGTTAACGAGTGCACCGGCGGCCTCATTAACAGCAACGCACTCACCCGAGTGAGCCACGGGGCCGGGGAAGGGGAAGATGTCCTCTCTCCAGGGTCACTGTGTTCTTTTCTTCCCAGGTACCATAGAATGCCTTCCCCAGCAGAGCAGTGGTACAGATCACAGCTAGATGTTCAGGCCTGCCTACTTACATCTTTCACCTGGGAGAGTAGTAACATAACCACTGCCTGTTTCAATTGTGCAGGTGGGGAAATGTGTTCCACTGACTAAAAGGTGAACTTTGGGGGAACAGACTTTTTTGAGTTGTGGATACTGTGCCCAAGCCTGTCTTTGTCATCTGATTTGAGGTCCTATGGAGTTCTGAAAGTTTGGTGGGCCACATATTTGCCTGTTATGAATTGTGTCCCATTGTTGATATATGGAGAATGAATGTTAATCAGATATTCTGATTACAAAGGTAACATATTATCTTCTATAGATGACTATTTTTCTAGATTCAGAATAGTATACAAACAAATTAGATAGTATAAGACTTTTAATTATTGCTTGATTTGGAAGCATTTCAATACTTCTTGATACTTCAGATCTTGCTTCTGAATGTAAAATTATCCCATATATGAAAAGGAAAAGAGCTGTGGAGGTTTTATCCAGCTTTCCAGTTCAGAATTCCTTCTTTATACCCTGTTAATCCTGGTGATATGTTACTTTGAAAAGCAGTCTATTCTATTGGGAGAATGCTAGAATAGTTAGAAAGACTTTCTTTATATCTTTTCATCTTTATGTGTTTCTTTATATCTAATACCCCCTTCAGTTTCCCATTAACATCTTTCATTAGTATGTTGTATTTGTTATAATTAACCAATACTGATACATATTATTAACTAAAGTCCACAGTGTATTCACATTTCCTTAGTTTTTACCTAATGTCCTTTTTTTGTTCTAGAATCCCATCCAGGACACCACATTACATTTTGTTGTCATGTCACCTTAGGCTCCTCTTGGCTGTGGCAGACTTTCCTTGTTTTTGATGACTTTGAAGTTTTGAGGAGTACTGGTCAGGTGTATTATAGGATGCTCCAGTATTGGAATTTGTTGGATATTCTTTTCATGATTAGACTGGAATTACGGGTTTTTGAGAGGAAGATCACAGAGGTAAAGTGTCACTTTTATCACATGATTTATGATTGTTGATGTTGACCATGATCATTTGGCTGCGTTCTTTTCATGATTAGACTGGAATTACGGGTTTTTGAGAGGAAGATCACAGAGATAAAGTGTCACTT